TGAACTCCAGTGGAAAGTTCTGGGTGTTCATTGACTGCGAACTCCAGTGGAAAGTTCTGGGTGTTCACTGTCTGTGAACTCCAGTGGAAAGTTCTGGGTGTTCACTGTCTGTGAACTCCAGTGGAAAGTTCTGGGTGTTCACTGTCTGTGAACTCCAGTGGAAAGTTCTGGGTGTTCATTGTCTGTGAACTCCAGTGGAAAGTTCTGGGTGTTCACTGTCTGTGAACTCCAGTGGAAAGTTCTGGGTGTTCATTGTCTGCGAACTCCAGTGGAAAGTTCTGGGTGTTCACTGTCTGTGAACTCCAGTGGAAAGTTCTGGGTGTTCACTGTCTGTGAACTCCAGTGGAAAGTTCTGGGTGTTCACTGTCTGTGAACTCCAGTGGAAAGTTCTGGGTGTTCACTGTCTGTGAACTCCAGTGGAAAGTTCTGGGTGTTCACTGTCTGTGAACTCCAGTGGAAAGTTCTGGGTGTTTATTGACTGTGAACTCCAGTGGAAAGTTCTGGGTGTTTATTGACTGTGAACTCCAGTGGAAAGTTCTGGGTGTTCATTGACTGTGAACTCCAGTGGAAAGTTCTGGGTGTTCATCCACTTTAGTTTTTTTTTCCTCCAGAACCTGGGTGTTTGCGTGTACATCTGTTTCACACACTGGCTTATTTGTATGCAATTTCTTGGTTCCTTGCCTCACAGGCAGATGTACTATGACTTCAGATGAAGCCCCCAAATAGTGACTCCTACAACAAGCTTGTTGGGAAGGTAGTGGGTCTATTCTTGATTTCCTCACAATAGGGTCCCAGAACCTACACAGGGAGCCTATTTTATTACAAAGTATGCTCACTGTTTAAATATGTAAATACAAGAATTCAAAATCATCTCAAGTACATTATATTTTCAAACTTTCTATTTTGGGCACATGAAGGTAGGATGGCAGTTAAGTTGGCAACATGGCGGTAACAAAGTTGAAAAGTAGTTGTGTATCCTTTCAGGATTTTGCAGTTTTTTCTGGGGCTGTTCTGGTTTCACTAGAAAATTTACGTTCAGTAGTTTGTCATTTTTATGTACACCTCCTTCTTTTTGAAAATGGTGTCTTAAACTTAATTGTTCCACCAGATACTTCTTAAACGTTTTAAACGACCTGTCGTTCTGATTTAGCATTTGGTTTGAAGTGTGCTAAGCATAGCCATTCTAAAATACATTCCTCTGAATCTAGGTCTGAATATTCGCCTGTAAGGTTACAGAATAATTGTTTCATTTCTTGTTTAATCTCATCTTTCACCACATTATCCAGAAGTCTCAGAAAGCTGAGAATATCTGTAGTATTAATAAAATACAATTGGCAATGATTCTTGGGCCACATTCTAGACCTCTGTGAGCCATACTTCTCCTGTCGGCTGCCAACTGAATAGCCCTAAATTATTTGTATTCTGTATGTAATGGGAGACAGTCTTGTGGAAGAAAGTAATCTACTGATTTACTAAAGTGAAGTTTTGAGGTTTAATCTCATCGAAGGCATCTCTGTAGTCATGTTGATAAATTATAAAACAAATATGTGAGCACTGATAAAAACAAGAACAAAAATCATTGAGGCACATACTATACCCTAAACTAGGCATGTCAAACTGAGGGCACCCTGAGGGCCATATGGGTCACATTTGTGTTGCCACAAGGGCCACCTTTGACAACTAATTAAGTCATTAAAAAAAAATTATTTAATAATATTTCTTTGTTTTTGGGCTGCAGCTGTGCCTGCAAAAATCCATGTGAAAACTTAAGCTCTCCATCTGGTGTCAGTTATCCTCGATTAGGTTGCAGGACCCCATTGTGGGGGAATACAAGAACAGGCCCACTGCCTCCCCAAAAACATGTCGTATGAATGGACTAATTGGGTTGCTTCCTTCGAAGTTGGAGCGCATCTACCTGAGAGACAAGGAACCAACAGCCTGCATACAAATAACCCAGATCTGTAAAATGAATGAGCACATGGCACTCATGTTCTGGAACAAGACTAAAGGCTGGAGATAGATCAAGAACCAGAACTTTCCATCAGAGTTTACAGCCGGTGACCATGACAAAAACTGAAGAAATGTGTTATCTTGTTATGATCTTGCAGGACCATGTTGGAGGACATGTGCTGCAATTAACAGAAATATTTATGAGGACAAAAATGATGAGAGCAGCACAGGAACATGCAACCTGGACATGACATCGATATTTTGGAGTATATAAGAATTTACTGACAGCATCGAAGTTTTGCGGCTATGTGGCTTCGAGGTTAGTGAATGCAGTTTACAATTTCCTGACCTTCCAGTACTAGGGTTCTTTACCCACAATGGATAGTTAAAAAAAAAAACTTTCTCATGGTTTTGGGACAATGGTAAGAGAACTGTGCTGTGAAAGAGATCGGAGCCTCACCACATGACCCACTTAAAGACAACAATAGTATACTGTAGCCAACCATCACTGTAGAGACGGAACAGCCATTTTGTTTTCCTCAACTGTACCTGAACATGGGTAAAGCACAAGAATGTATTCAGTACTGACATGGACCTAGATGAAACAGAATACTCTAGGGTTGAGAGGTCGGCTCTGTGGCTAAGTCGTTGCGAACACTTCGCTCCGGGATGCCGGGTTCGATCCCAGCTGCGGGCAATGCGCCTTGCTTTGGTTTCGACAGTGGTATCAAGAAAGCCGACCGTCCAGAAAGCAATGGCAAACTACTGGACATAAATTTGCCTAGAGAAACCACACAACAGCCAGGGGCTGTTATGGTTGGTTCTGCAACGTCCTGTAAAGGATATGCAACAACCTCCTTAGGGTTGAGAGGATGGATACAAGTGAACCACAAATATGTTTTAGATATTGAACAATGACGAAACATAGAAATTTGCTGCGTCAGAAGGAAAAACAACTTTCAACATCACTGGCATATTAGACCAGATATATACTGTGAGGCTTCATGGTTGTGGTGAACATCATGCTGGCTTTCTTTACTTCCCATGACATTTCCTAGCACCCATTTTCAGCTGGGTCAACGTGGGAGCAGTACAATCAACAACACAAATTTACCCTGAATTAGATTCAAACCCAGACCCATTGGGCCAGCAGGTATACATCTAACCAATGTATTACTGTGGCTTCCATATTCTAGTATTGTATTTAATTTACTTATCAATTGACTGTTTTATACTTTCTATTGTTTGACTCTTGGACTTTGATCTATTGTCTATTGCCTCAGATGCAATGCCTGTTTATCCTTGTGTGGGTTCTAGGGCCTCATTCTAGTGACTAAACCAGGTCCGTCAAAAATCCAGCAAAAAATACAGTACATGCAAAACTCAAATTCTGGAACAAGACCAAAGTCCAGAAGTGGATAAACAACCAGAACTTTCCATCAAAGTTTACAGCTGGTAAACAAATCAAACCTTCTTCAAATCTCCATTATTTCGATCAGAGCAACGAGGCGTGAACACATTCAAGTATAGACAGTCTTCCTGGCCCAGGTCAAATGTGTTGGGTAGGATATTCAGCTGGACACAGTGGGCTTTGAAGTCTGTGGCATCGTACAAGCCATCTGGGAATTACAGGATAACAGAAGATACTAGAAAATAAATGACAAAAACATGGGGTATTAAAAAGACACAGTTAAAGCAGAAGAAAGAGATAACAGTCTATTTTGTCTATATTAAAAAAATTAATATTGACAAATGTAAAGATACAGCGTTAGAAGGACATATAAATGTAAATGTTGCTAAATAAAAATGCAAAGTCAAAAACTCTGAAAATGTTGACATTTTCCAGTATTCCAGATAGTGTGCCACTAAGCCACAGGAAGGCATGAGAATCACACTGTATGATGATGATGAGTGTGACTAGCAAGACCCTCTCACTACAAACAAATCTTCCACACTCAGTGCATGGGATTACTGGATCATTTCTCGTCCACATGCATTTGATAGTAGGTTTTTTCCACTGAAACACTCAGGTTTAACCTTTGTGCAATATATTTCTCTTTTGTCCCTATACCTTATCAGATTTCTCCCTCCATGCAACATAATCCTTGCTTTCTTGTCCCACGAATCCACATTAACACCTGTACCATCCATGTCCCACTTTAACACATCTTTAATTTGTAGTAGAGGCCAACAACAATACCTTCAACCTTAACTGTGTTGGTTCCAGGGCCCTAATGTAGGGAAAACAAGAATAGACCCACTGCCTCCCCAACAAGCATGTCATAAGAGACAACTAACTGAAAGCTTCCTTCGAAGTCAGAGTGCATCTGCCTGAGAGGCAAGGAACCAAAAGTCTGCATACAAATGGGTCAGATCTGTAAAATGGATGTGCACGCAACACTCAGGTTCTGAAACCGAACAGCAGTCCAGAAGTGAACAAACAACCAGAACTTTCCACCAGAGTTTACAGCTGGTGAACGCGAAGAAGAAGAAGAATATCTTCTACCCATCTCTAATTCACTAAATAGGATGTCCTAAAGGATTCTCACATACTCCATCCTCATAATGTGTTAGAATAATCTGAGCGTTTGAAAACTGAGCAGCGAGAAAACTGTTATAATGTCTGCTCTTTCCAATACCTGTGTTTGTAATCTTGGCTTGCCACCCACAGCCAGATAAGGCCTTACAGCTCAGCGGGAATTCCTGTTTTTGGGAGGCCGGCCATGATACCAAGTAGATTTATACACAAATATAAAATACAGTTTAATTAATTTGCAACATGTGCTATTGAATGATTTATCATTCTGAAGATAGATAAGTGGGCTATTAGAGAGAAAAAATTATGATAAAAATAATAGCCCACTTAATTGCAAATTAATTAAACTATTGTTTAATGATTTATAAATCTACTCTGTAACAATGTTGAGCATCGACCGCCATGGTCAGCCTCCCAAAGACGGGAATTTCCGTTGAGCTGAAGGCCTTATCTGGAGCTGGCTGTGTGCCACCTAATGACAGGTTTTCTTAGAACAGTTAAGAGACAGACTTACCAATATCATCTATGGCAACTGGAGGTTGAAATCTAAGATCTTTGACCGGTGGTTTGGCGAAAGGTATCCCACGAAATGCGTTGTAGACCTGGCCATTCTTGGCAGTTAGTGTGGAGCCGAGGAAAGTTCCAGCGGGAGATTTGATGACTGGATCTGAGGCCCACACACAAGCCACGATAAGGAGCAGCAGATGGCGGGAAAACATCTTCATAGCAGGAACTGTTGGCACTGTCTGTCCTAAAATATGAATTAGAAAGGGGGTAGTTTAAAGTTAATGATTAACAGAAATATGTTGATGAACAAACTTTTGGTAATCATGGGACTGATTAATCACTAACTTACTGATAACCTGACAAGCATGAAAGAACTTTGCGAGGTTAAATTTAACATCAGTTTGACACACTGCTTCTGTGGTAACCAGTTTGGAATGTAACTTGTGGAGAATTTGTTTGCTATTTCAGTTTACATTATATGCTGTATATGAAGTTTGTAAATAAACTTTTATTCTAATGTTATATAATTTAAATGACCAAATAAATCACATTTATTCTAATGAGAGTGAATGCTGTATATTTTAATTACTATAATTTTTTTTAATAATTTCTACCTTCTTGAATTGTTTTCTGAAAGATTAAGCGAATCCCAGAAACCTCACTTAACCATATAACAGCGATATTAGGGCACCCCTTCGGTTACAAAGCAGCCTACAGTGCAGTGTGGGATAGAAGATGGGGGGGGGGGGGGGTATTTACTATGCACATATTCCAACTAGTTGTATAGACCAGATGGCTCAGCAATGACGGTTAACCAGCAATGACTGATGTATGTGTCACACTGGTCACTTTTGATTCCCAGAAAATTTTTAAAAAAAGCTCTAATTTCTCAGGACATGTCTGCGTGCGTTAGTTAGACTTTCTCAGTCTGATGAAAGTCTAAGAAATGCTGCCTCTTAAAAGTAAAAAAAAATTCTTTGATGTCAATACATAAATATGTCTAGTTTTGTATATGTTAATCAAATGCTCATTTTTCATATAATTGTGTGTGTAAACTAAGAAAATCCCCTCCTGAAGGCTCCATCTTCTTGGCACTGAAACTCCAAATTAATCTCCGTCTACAAAGGGTTAATTTGTTGCATTTGCGACATTTGAAAAGTGCATAACCACCTCTTGGGCCTCTAATGCTAAAACCCCTAGTACTCAAAGAGTTAACGCCACAGAAAACGATTTCTTGTACGGCGCCACCAGTACTAACTGGCCGGTCTCCAGCCTACACAATTTGCACCGTCATTGGTTATAATACCTGATAAAACAACAACAAAACCAGCTTCAGAACTTGCGAGTGAGAATGCTAACGTAACCGGTATAGATTTTAAGTAATAATTAATAATAATAACATGCAAGCTGATGGTCGAAACAAACGTGATGATGGAAACAAACTAAAAGTTAAAGTCCAGAGAGGTCCCACTTCATTGCACAGGGTTTATATAGCCTATATACTGGCATGTGTATGTGCTGCATATTGATGAATAATAGCTGACTCACACTCCATAACTGTGCAACAACTTGTACTAGAAACGACAAGCTGGACAATATTTTGGTTTGTAAAAACATCCTACCTCCTGCAGTAACGTAGAGTACACAGCCAACAACAACAGTGTCTGGTCTAATGTGGGCCTCGACAGCAGAAGCTCTCTTTAGTCAACAACTAGCAGTTAGTATGGTCTATTTTTAACCACTAACATACCCTTGTTCTGAATTGAGACCTGATCTTGAAAATGTATTTACCCTACCATGACATACTTCTCACTGGAGTCTCGGAACCTGTCGTATTTATTAGTTGAGAGTTGTCGGTACCAAACAACTTAAAGCAACACAATGCGGCATGTTTGTAATAATGTGTATGTTATGCATGCGTACGCTTAAATGTGTGCAATTTGAACGCGTGTGTGTAGAAAAAAAAGGGGGGGGGGTCGTGTGGGGGGGGGGGGTCGTGTGGGGGGGGGGGGAATGGGAGCTGTCTGTAATAAAGTTGTCAAACCATTTTCCTAACGCTCTGGAGGATGTGATTTCGTCTCACGGACGCGTCATTCAGTTTACGTACACTATTGTGTACACATCAGAAGGAGACAGTCATCATTTTTCGGCCATGTTATGAGAAGAGGGAAAATAGAACATGTTGTGACCACTGGAAAGATCTGTGGAAGGAGGGATAGAGGAAGACAACGAGAGAAGATGCTTGACAGTCTTGTTGCATGGCATGGAGGTGTGTCGGCACACGAACTGATACATGCTGCAGGAGATCGCGGATTATGGAGAGGCATGATCGCCCACGCCAGTCGGCAAGGCACCTGATGATGATGATGACACTATTGTGAGGAGATGACTGGGTCGTCGTTGGAACTGCAGAGCTCGCACTTTGTGCGACGCTGTCAACGGCAAGGAGGCCGAGAAATATGGGATCCTCTCGACCTTAACCTAATTTGTATATGGCCAGTAGGCACTTGATGTGTGATGTGTGTCACACTGGCTGCCGTAAACTTCAGATCGTTTCCTTCTAACAGCTGTAATTTTTCAGCGCACACAGATTTTAAAACAGGGACATACAACGCCCCCTCGTTTATTTTCATTAAACAGTAAGCAGATTAAGCGGTACAGGATAGTCTACGGTATTTTTTCAGCTTTTCACCCTATCTCGTCGGCTGAGAGGTTTGGAAGGGAATTTCTAGATGGTTCCCTGGAAGGTCCTATTATATAGAGGGATTATGGTTAGTTTCCACTTCTTTCGTTCGCCCGAAATAGATTATCTTTATCTACAATGTCGTCTCTTAGTGTGTAAAAAAAAAAAAAAAAAAAAAAAAAAAAAAAAAAAAAAAAAAAAAAAAAAAAAAAAAACAAACAAAAAAAAAAAAAAAAAAAAAAAAAAAAAAAAAAAAAAAACCTCACTGTGTTCTGCAATTCACTTAGCGATGTAAAGTTCGCCTTTAACCGTTGTTTCTCTTGGCCAGACGTTAGGCAGTGCGGGATATTTTAGGGCAGGTCCGGAAGAGAGCCATCTTGTGGTGTCGACGGCGGAGGGCCTTGGAAAATAGCGACAGTCTCCATGGATGCATACTCGTCAGTGAGAGATCAGGGTTAGGGTCAAATGCAGGAATGCTGACAGGTCAAGGAAATTCACGGCCAAGGTGACGTCACAAAGTAGGAACACTGCTTGCAAACGAGGGACTGTGATGGTGACGAACGAACAATAGTAACACACACAGGAATTAATGACGCAATTAACGATGAACACGCAAGAAACAAACATATGCCACGCCTAGAACATAGCAGTGTTAGTGTCAGACGGTTACCGTTAAATGAACACAGATCAACACTGACCCTAACAAGCCCCCCCCCCCCCCCCCAATGCTAGAGGACCTTACGTGGAACTACCTAGGAATTCCCTACTAAATCTTACAGCCGACGAAATAGGGTGTAAAGGGTGAAAAGAACATAAGCTTCTAACCGGAAATATCACATCCCTAACTCCATTAGACTGTTGAAAACTCCATGGACGGCACTAAACTAATAGGGCGTCCACTTCAACAAGGGTCAGAATATATTCACCTTGCAGGGAACACAACTGTCTTATTTAGAGTCCCTGACCAGGAATGTAGCCATGATATTTGGCGCTCATGTCAGGCTAGAGTGCGGGGGGGGGGGGTGGGTCAGAAAACTCTTACAGTCTGTATTACCCATTGCTCGATTTGGGGCTACTTTTAAAGACAATGTAGTGCATAATTAGGAAGCCAGGTTAATTATATCGCGACTAAAATTCAAAGGCTTTTAAAATGTACTGGTTGTGTGATGTTAAAGCGTGTAATTTGTGTAGTGTAAACACAGAGTGTTGCGAATAACTACTGAATTGATAATTATAATTAGTACGCCATTATTGCAGATTCTAGAGATATGTTTTTTGGTCGCGCAATCCAAATCCTAAGCATACAAATCTGTTTCTGGATCCAGCACAGCACACAACTGTTATTTTTTAAACACACGTACTCACAATAGACTTTCATAAGTTTTTCTCAGTACCCGATTTTTTAATACACCCCTCCACCACCCCTTTCCACACCCAATTGCTTATGTTCAATTTTATAAGTTTGTATAAACAATAAATTATTTTTATTATTAACTTCTTCTCATATCAAAGGAGCATGTTAACAAATCTTTAATTAACACACCATGACACTTTAAACTGTACTCTTGTGTACTCTGTGTCCTGCACAAGTCCACGTCCTTGTCCTTTTGAGAAAAAAATCAAAAACTTGACCACGTTCAGTCTGCTGCTAGCTAGCCGAAGCTGTTAGCAGTCTCCGATTATATTTGTGGTATAGTTCATTTGCGCCACTTTCGTGGCTAAAGATCTGTTATTTGCGCTGTCTCTGGGCTTAATGCTTCTTTCCAAGTCAGACCGCTAATTTCTTATCCAGTTGTCCTGTGTGTTCTTTCCGCCCTTACATTTATGATGTTGTCCTGTGTGTTCTTTCCGCCCTTACATTTATGATGTTGTCCTGTGTGTTCTTTCCGCCCTTACATTTATGATGTTGTCCTGTGTGTTCTTTCCGCCCTTACATTTATGATGTTGTCCTCTTCTTTTTGCTCCTTTTGATTTGGTCAGGCGTATATCGTAGGAGAGCGAGCTTCTCAACATAACGTCATCTGGACCACAGTTTTTGAGTTTCGATAGATCCGAAATGTGAAAATCTTCCGCGTGTGACCATAGTGGTCTTATAGTTGTCTTCCTACAATAAGAACGGATTGGTCATGTCATGAAGATGTGTTTGAAATGTTAGGTGAAATCTAACAGAGATTCTGTCTGTCGATTTTCATAGTGTGGTTCGATTGTGTCGGTTTGGGTCGGTAGATGGGCTCAGGTGTACGTAAATACCAGATCCCTGGAATACACAGCTCACGCTTTGAGATCCAAATATTTAGCTATGAGCATTGTTGGGGAGCTGGTCGGGTACTGAACTCTAGTGCTCTCTGGGGGATGGGGTGGGGGATTGTACTCATTGTGCATCCGAAAGGGGTAGGGAAGAGAGAGTGTGAAGAGGGAGGGAAATCATTCATTCTTAATCGTTGCTGAATTCTAGCGTGGCCGTTAGCCAGGATTATACGCATCACCTCACCAGGTTGTGAGTCATGTGGAGTAGCTGGAATTGTGTTT